AGGTACTTAAACAAAAATCGCTCTGATATCCAAAGTCGCAAAAAGTCGCCTGTTCGGGTTTAATCCGTGTATTGAACCAGTGTTCCAGGTTTAAATATAAATATATAAACACATATGTACAACACACAAATATACGTAGAAACACACACAGTACACGCACACGTCTTCTCTATCACAAAGCTGTGTAACCACGTGCACACTCGTCACACTACTTGTATCAACTGCCTGTAAGCATTGTATCGTCTTACAACAATGCGCGCAGAGGCGACTGCAGGTATGAACTCTCAGTGCAGGTACTTACACAAAAAGTGCTCTGATATCCAAAGTCGGAAAAAGTCGCCGAATTTTTTATTTCACTGATTTTCCTAAAACTTATATTACTGTCAGATGCAAAAATCAGATTGGACAAATTTGGACATTTTTATTTACACTTATTTTAATTTTTTCTACATAGTAAGTTTATCTACAATCTATGATATTTCCATATAAATAATTATATAAATATAAATAATTATATATAAATTATATAAATAATTGTATGTGGCGGGCCAGATGAACTGACCTCGTGGGCCGGATGCGGCCTGCGGGCTGTAGTTTGGTGACCCCGGCTCTAAAGTATAGTGTGCTTGATGAAAATGAGTAGACAACAACCTTCTTTCAGTTTTATTCTCTAATTCTTTGCAGGTTACAGAGGTGTTTTCCTGGTTAGTTAGAATGAGTGCTGAATTGGAAACAAAAATTGTTTCTATTGAGAGAATTGATGAATATTCTCAACTTTCACCAGAGGTTTTGTATGATTTGTTTTGTTTTTTTTTGAAAAAGTGTAGATTTTTATATCTTAATTATATTATATGATTTATTTATTTGTTTTAAAGATTTACTACAATCTAAAGCAATAGCATAGTATGTAAAAGGAGAAAACAAAGAAAGCATTCCTGAAAAATTCATAGTTGGATGTTCACTTACATATTTTGATTTTAAAATACTTTTCAAAGTTCTTGTTTACAGTGTATTGAAATATGCTCATATAATATAAACCCTATGTGTTCATTATAGTAATCTCACAAAGATGTTCTTTCTTAATTCTTGCTTCCAAGAACGAAGATTTATCCCAAAAGGTTAAAATAACAAGTGAATGTAAAATTGTATATCTTAATTTTCTCCTCATCTTTCTGGTTTTATATCACTGAAAAACTTTTTACCTTATTTCTTCTTAATAAAAAGTATGAGTTATTATAATACAACTGTCTAGGTATTTTAAACTATTTTATTTACAAACTTTTGTAGTTAATTTCTGGTGTAAAGCATCATCATTTCTAATGCTTGTTGTAGTAGTGCTGCACATACTAACTTTCAAACTAAGACTATTGGCATTAAATATACTTACAAACTTTTAAAGTTAGTTTCTGGTGTTTGAAGCACTACTACTAATCCTTGTAGCAAATTTGCTACTCATACTAAGACTATTGATGGTAAATTGTTTTCTAAAGTTACTGTATATTGCCAAAGAATGAGAATTGCCATCATGAACTGCTATATATTAAAGGTTTTTTGATATAAAAAAACATTTTTGGTGAACATTACCTAAATATAACAAGTGGAAAAAATCTAAAAAACAACTGAAAGTGTAAAAATGGGTGCATCAAACAGGAAAAAAACAAGGTAGGAATGGGCATGGTTTAATAAAACTTCCTCTGAACAACCTCACAAGTGGGAGTATCCAATATCCTTACCATACCTGCTTTGTTTATTTTTTTTTATCCTGTATACAATAAGCCAGGTGGATTAAAATTATCACACAACGATTAGAGGTTTTTGTGAATAAAATTAATGGAAGTAGTACGGATACTGTAAAATCTATTTATACAGCACCAAAATAATCAGATATTCGAGTGGACCCATAACTTTTATGATTTTTTATTTCAAAACTTGTCTCTCCTTTTTCAATTGCAGGAGAAGGCAACAGGATTTCATACATTAGCTATATAGGTGGATTAAAATACAAATACTTAAATTCCTAAGAGGTTCATATGTACTGACATCATGGATTTGTTACTGCCTATACAAAAGTAGGAGAATCATAGATATATGCTTGTATGTACCCATAAGTTGTATAACATAGTGAATGCAGAAAAATGAAGTAGGCATAGTCTGGATATTGGACATGCCCCCTTGTAAGGTTGTACAGAGGAAGTTTTATTACACCATGCCCATTCCTACCTTGTTTCCTCACTTTTTGGTGCAACCATTCCTACTTTCAATTTTTTTTAAATATTTTTTCCACTGTTCATGTACTTTCTTGTACAAGGTGACATGATCTTATATATCATTCATTCATGTCGATGTATTTTATGTATATCATCAGTGTTGGCGTGGAGCATATTATGGTATGTAAAAATAATGGTATGTGTGTATTGTATATGTGATGGCACACTCTGTAGTCTGCAATGTCATTTGGGTGATGTAGCGTGAATATACTAAGGACTGATAAATTAGTTAATTAATTTAATTAACTACATCATGGAAGCACTAGCATATGGTCCCTGTGCTATTGTTTTATTTGGTACACTCATAACCATGGTGAGTCTGTTTTTTATACAGTTAGAAACATTCAACAATATCAGTCAGATTGAGAAATTTGTAGTTTTGTGAATTTTTTGTATCTGGTCCGCTGACTTTCTTAAGTGGTTCTGTGACTTATAATTTTGTATGCACTTTGTTTATCACCTAAGAGTGTCTCTCAAATACATTTGAAGATTCATTATTTGGTTGTTAACAGTGCATATGAGTAAACAGTTTGTATTACATGTATTGTGTATTCACCCCATTCCTATCATAAGTACTACCATACTTATGATAACCAGCATATTTTTATCAACATTAAGCACTGATGACTGAAATTAAACTTTCAAAAGCTAAGCTATTTTCATTAAGTAAGTGAAATTTATGTATGTCAATGATACATTACTAAATATAAGTGAAATAATGTATTTAGTGTTTGTAAATGCTCAGGAAATTATATTTTTATTTGAGAGAAAATGATACTACATGCTTTTACCTGGCTGTTTGTACTGTATGCTGTATTTGATGGTTTGCACCTTTTTTTTTTATCTTTTTTTATTGCTATTTTGATTCTATGCAGGCACCATGGGATATAGAAAGCACTAAACCACACAAACTGTGGCCTTCAAAAGGCTTGGTGAAATTTGTCAACTATAGTACACGCTACAGGGAAGGCTTGGATATGGTTCTTAAAAATATTAACCTGGAGGTTACCCAATCAGAGAAGGTTTGATTTCATACCTGTTTTCATAAAACTATTAAAATGTCAAAAGAAGAAAACAAACATTAATGAAGTTTTCTCAAATATTTTGTAATATCTGTATAAAAATGTAGCATATTGAGATAACAAGCGTAGCTGGTTTTTGTATGAAATGGACAGTGGTGTAAGTATGAACCTGCAATTCCAAGGGGGCATCTTTTGTAGTTATGCCACTGGCAATGGTGTATTCAAAAGGTTACAAAGTTCATGTTCAAATATAGTTTGTGATGCTAAGAACAGACATTGTCAAACATTATTCAATATCTGTAAGAGGAAATATTTTAAATTGTTTTATGTATTATACCCTTTAAGATCTCTAATGCAGTTGAATCCAGTATTCAGTAAAGAGAATGTTTATAAATTCATTTCTTATGTATTGTGATTTTTAAAGCTTTATACATAACATTACTAATAAGTACTCGTACACTAGTACTTTTCAGACTGAATTCAGTTAATCTAGACATGCAAGGGAAATGTTTAACCAATACTCTCAGTCGTGTGTACCAGAAATAAGTCTTATATGCACCTACCTCCTCGGGTTACAATTGACACACACACAGAAAAAGACTTTTTTATGACATTGTATTAAGTTTTTGAACATTTTGGAGTTATGGCTCATAAATAAAGCTTTTGTTGAAAAAATTTTTTTTTTTTAATGTGGTACAGTGTTGAGCTGTTGATTTAATAATATATATATAGAGAGATTTTTTCAATATTTTAACTTTGACAAGAGGAAGTGATTACACTTGTATTTAGACATGAAAAAAATTATAAGGAGAGAATTATCATGTAAGTTATACTTACACAAATCGACTTAAATTGTTATAGGTTGGGATAGTAGGACGGACTGGTGCTGGAAAATCATCTCTTACTCTTGCATTGTTTCGAATCATAGAACCAGCAGATGGTACTATTCTTATTGATAATATAGATATCACTGTAATTGGTCTACATGATCTTCGATCTAAGCTTACAATAATCCCACAGGTTAGTGTTCTAAATTGTTCTATTTTTTAGAACTAATTCACCTGTTACTAATCATTTAAACCTTTAAACTATGTATGCTCAATCAAAGCACTTAGAAAATTTTGCAAGAAGTTAAAAACCATCAAGATCCTTTTCTTCTTGTTTTAAAACTTAGTGCTCTAGTAAATAAAATTTATAGTATATTTAGTATAATAATCCTTCCAGTTTAATTTAGATTTCTGCAAAAGTGGGAAAATTGACAGGTTTTGATAAATGTAAAAGCAAAATCACTATGAAATAATGGGGTGATTAAACTCAATGTTTTACAGGATACTCTATCTTCTTTGGAATACTGAACTTGTATATTTATTTATTTTTTATCAGGACCCCGTTCTTTTTACGGGAACACTACGAATTAATATTGATCCAAACAATGAGTTTTCTGATGAAGATGTTTGGCAAGCATTAGAGCATTCCCACTTGAAAGAGTTTGTATCAACTTTGCAAGAAGGCCTTTCCCACCATGTGGCAGAAGGTGGTGAGAACTTGAGGTTAGATTCAGGAAATATATTTTTTTTTGCTAAAACTACAGTATATTTTGTTAAATATTTGATTTTAAACTTCACACAAGTGTCAGTGTTGACTACTCGCTTCTAACAGATAAATAAATAAGGTGATGATCAGAGATGAATGCCTATTCTATGAAGCAGGAGATGTAGTGAATTTAAAAACACAAAATGACGTTTATTTGGATGCACAGAAGTGAACAAGTATAAATTAAATTCCAAACATTAAGTTTGTTTAGTTATGTTTAGAAGTATGCAGATTTTTACACAAAAAATATGCACATTGATTTGTATCTTTGTTTCTTTAACAAAATTAAATGTTAAACAGAGTAGAAAAAACACTTACAGTCTATATTCAAAATGCAACTAAAAGTTGTTTTTATGTTACAAAATACTCTAAAGCACTTTTATACATTATCTGTCAATGTGCAAAAAAATATACAAAAATTGCTATTTTTATTTTACTTTTCTGAACTGTAAATATACACAGCGTGGTCACAAGTAAATAGATACCACCTTTTCAGAAAAAATGAAATTTTTCAGTCATATTCACATGAATTGGTATATTTATAATTTAATTAATAAATCTTCCTTTCACTTCGTGGAGTTTGTTGATCCTTTGGGGCATCCTGAGAATCATCTCGTCAATTTTAGATTGTGGGATTTTCGCCCACTCTTGCTTTAAAACTTGGAGTAGATCACTTTTCGAAGTTGGTTTTTTTGGTTGTTTCTTGACTTGCAGGTCGAGTATGGCCCAGAGCGTTTCGATGGGGTTCATGTCAGGAGATTGGCTCGGCCAGGGCAACT